GTCCCTTGGATAAATAGCTCAGCACCAAGACTCCTCTTTAAGGAATAGACTTTATTCCAGTTAACACTCCCATTTTGACTTTATAACTCCCCGATTATAATGACTTCTTTCTACATTGTACAGTCTCACACTTTGTATTGTGAGGTTACTAGTCTGTTAGAATTTTCATTTCTGGTGTCAAATACATGCCTGTGGAATATTGGCACTTGTCATAATATCAGTTTTTGAAGTTTTGTGGAAGGTCCTCAGATGGACCACTGCTCCTCACTGGCTATTACCTGATCCTACTGTAACCTCTGACCCACTCTCAGTCTCCCAGCATTCCCTCCTGCCTCCAGTCAGGTCACATTTTAGTCAGAGTGATCTTTTCAAAACCCAAATATGCCCTTGCCACTTCTGTGCTTAAAACCTTTCAGTGGCTTCTGGTAGCAAAGACAAAAATCCTAAGTAGTGAGCTGCAGGGGCTGGCGTGATGTGACCCTTGCCTTTCTGTCCTGATTTAGTGCCAGGTTTTCCCTTACACTGTTCTCTGGCCATCCATCTGTCTTACAAACAGTAGGCATTCAATCGATTACCTGCCATGCTCTGTGATAACTTCTGAGTGTAGAGAGGTGAATAAAATACCCATTCCCTGCTCTCATGGAACTGGGAGTGTAGGGTAGGAGATAGACTAACAACCATGCAATATGAAGTTAGACACTGTCACAAGTGCAACACAGAAATGCTACGGTGCTGTGACATGGAGGTCATACCTGACATTGTGTTGTGGAGAGAGACCACATTTCCTTCAGCATGTAGAAGGTTAAGCATTGTTTATCAGGTACAGCCAGGGAAGCTCTTACCAGCAAACATAATTCTAGATATGGAAAAAATATAATTATTTATGCATAAAGAAGAACAGGTGATTACATGAATGTATACACATATCAGAATTCATCAAACTGCACACTGAGGTTTGTGCATTTTATCATATGTGCCTCAATTAAAAAAAAACAAGTAATTGTTTCACAGATAATGCCTATTTTAGAGAGGATAGCCTTGAGGATAAAGTGCTACCTCTTGTGTGTTACTGAAACTGGGGTCTTGGAAACCATCTCCTGCTGGAATAGTTTCTGTTGAACAAATGAGATCGTATAATATGATTTACATCATTTTCTTTCTTTTCAAAGACCATATCTGTGGCTTTTCATAAGTGGGTGGTCATGAAGGGTTTCTGTGAGGATATATATTTTAACTAAGAAGCTGAAGGTGAGAAGAAACATGTCCTTTGTGGAGTTGCCAGCTGAGGGGACAGCATGCAGGAATGTCCCCAGAACAGGCCTATGTGTGGCTCTGCTGTTGCACCTGTGTGTTTGGGTTGAATGCCTACTATCCCATCAGCCTGGAGCTAAATGCTAAACGCTAACATACTAAATACAAAAATAAATTTTAGGTGGTTGGAAAGTATGAAGGTAAAACAATGTAAAGTAGTAAAAGGAAAGATGGACTCTCGAGCTGAAGAAATACTTTCTGAACATGATTGAGAATGTACATAGACTGTAGAATAAAGGTGGTTGATTTTTGCTACATAAAAATGAAGAACTTCTGAGTAGCCAAAGCATCCTAAATATAATGAAAATGACTAATGAGATTAAGATGTGCAGCTACAGCTACAAAATAAAACGAACAAAAACCAGCTTTGGCAAGGGTGTGGGGACAAGGGTTACTCTAATGTCCTGAAGGTTCTCTGGGACCCCGTTAGGCAATGTGTGTCAATATGTAAATTCCCTTTGATCAAGGCACTTGGAATTAATCACAAATAGGGAAATTGGAGATGTGTAAAGACAACGTTCAGAATTCATCACTGTGTAAATGGTGGTGAAATATTGGTACAACCACCCAATAAAGTTTTATGTGGCCATTAAAAATGATGTAATATATGTCTGTTCACATGGACACCTTTCCCTGATACACTTGGGGATGGGGGACAGATTTTAGCAAGGCATGCGTAGCATGAACCTATATATAGCATTGTGGGCATGGCCTGTGTCTGAACATGTGACTGGATGGAGGTTTGAAACAGGATTCATAATGTTAATAATTGTCTGTATATGCAGGCTTTTGAAAGTTTCATTTCTGTTAATTTTTTGTGGATGTTGTTTCTTTTAAAAAAAATACAAACTATGAGCATACCTTTTGATAATAAGAAAACTAGGAAATGAGATTATGTGTTTCCTGTATGTGTATCTTTATTATTATTTTTAAAATTAAACAGTTTTCTAGCTTATAACATTAAAAATAAAGATATTTTGTTCTCCCTTTGTAAGTATTTAAACTCTTAAAACACTTATTTTTACCTCCTTTAAATGCTATTCCCATTTTTGGCCTTTCTAACCATTATATTTATGGATGTTTGAAATATTCAGGCTATACTGAACAGAATGTCAAACACAAGGAAGGAAATGGGGTTCAGAGACATTTTCATTAAAATTGCATGAATACTGGATTTTATTCTATAGCACAAAGCCTTCCTGGATGAACTGGATCAGTGTTCAATAGAGACACAGCCTTTTAAGCATGACTGTTCTTAAACTCTTCTGTTTCTACTTAAATGCCCTATATTCTTTAGCCTAAAAGCAGAGTATCTAAGACAAAGGAGCATAAAAGACACCAGCATCAAAGATAACAGTATAACACTGAAAGGATTATTTCAAATAAACCACCTGCATGTGCGCACACACACACACATCGCTCTCTCAGAGGTCATATTAATGGCACAGCTGGTTCAGATTCTGATCTTTCCCCAGTCAGATCTTCAGAGAACAGTTTAATAAAACACTAATTATGTAGCAGCTCCACATAGTGTAGACAGGGATAATCTAGCTGCATAATTTTGCTAATGATAAAGCCATGGAATGCTGTTTTTGTCCTATTTTAAGGTATCTGTTTGTTCTGTAGTTACTAGGGGTACACTGATTTCAGAATGACAGAATATTTGATATTCAACAGCCTCGCTGGTTCAATGAAAATTAACCACTATTATGGATTTTGTGGAGAATGGACTTTAAAGATTGGTTTCATGGTAATTCACACTGTGGGGACACATTTGGGATTAAGAAAATTTACCCATTGTCCTGGGTGGGGGATCACTGGAAGGCAGAGCAAAGGGGAGAAGGGGATAAACTGCCCATGTTGGTGAGAAATGCCATGTGAATTTAGGGATTAGGGTGCAGGATATGGATATTGCAATACATTGTTGGAGGCGCAGTAGATAACAGAGCTCTACAGATTTTTTTTCTGTCTTGTGTTTTTTTTCATCAGCTCTTTGATAACCATTGTGATTTTTTCCCTCTTAACCAGTGTAGCCCACAGCATTTTAAACCATTGTATACATGCACCACCCAAGCTTTTCCTTGGATGTCTCATGCATATTGTTTCTCCAGCTTTACCGCACTGCTTGGTATCTTTAGCCCATAGCTCAGGTCCTTTTGGGAGGGTAGCTGTCATGCAAAGGTCTGTTTCTTTTTGGTTGTTGAAGCTCATGTTCTCTTAAGTGACACCATGTTCTTTAATCTGAACCAGTCTGTTGTTACTAAAGGATATTTAGGAAAATGAACGAAAGGTGGAAAAAAAATAAACAAAGGCCCTAATGTTCAGATATATTTTTAGACATAGAAGCAACTGGCTGCTTTCCATGAACTAGTCAAGTGTAATCAATGAGTCATGTTTCCCTCTTTGGTGGTTTTTCTTTAAAGGATGAAATACTGGTTTTAACTACAGTGTGTGTGGCTTGGGTTCTCCAGATTCATGGAGTGTGGTTACTTTGAATGGATAGTATTTCATTTTATCTCTTGTAAAACATCTTTTTTAGTTAGAAAAATCAAGTCTTCTTTCCACATAAGCATCAGAAATGGTGAAGTTATTTATTAAACCAGGACAGTAATTAATTTAAAAAAATTTTAGGATAGAGGAGGAAACCAGTGAGTGGGTAAGTGACATTGTTCATTTTCAGGTCCTCTGGAATGCTTAAGTAGAGCCTGCAGCAGTTTTTTTAGATCATTTTGAATGGTAAAGTTTGTTTTGTGACTTGTTGAATACTCCCCTTAGAACATGAGATGTGGTCATTGGGAAAGAGGCTCGTTGTGGTAAATCATCTCTCTGTAGTGGATTTGATTCTGTCAAATAGTTACAACTACTTCTGGTTCTACTAGTTAGATAAATGGCCAGCCTTGGGTGTCACAAAGGTATTTTTGGGCTGGCCATCTTACAGATAATTTCACATTAGTGAAGCTGAGACCTCACTGTTTTAAGGGTGCTGCTTAGGGCTCTAGTTTAACTCTTCTTTCTCAGACTGTCTCTCCTGCCTTTTGAAAGCCAAATTGGCATTCTTTAATATCAAGTGCTAAAAAATGAAGAGCTCTTCTTATTGGATGTTATGACTTAAAAGAGGAAGAAACTGAAGAATGACTATCAGAAGTCCTTGACCTTCTCCTCTGGACTTGAGGCAGGAGGCTCCTGGCACTCCAACACTCTTTCTCAGGATCAGGATAGCCAGAGACAGAAATGATCTTAATTCATGGGACCATGACTTGACATGGAACTGCTGAGCTCCCAGGTCTTTGTAAAGTTGCTTGCAGTAACCTTTGAATTTGTTCTTAGAGCACTAGCCAAACGCACTTTGTCTGTTCTGCTGCTCTCCTGCTCTGAGGGTTGGCTTCTGACACTACTCCAGCCGACTAGACCTTTCAGAAACATTCCTCTTATCTGTCCGGCCTCTCTCACCCACGAAGCTGCAGCACTTGCAGGGACATTTCTTTTCTTTAGCTTATTTACCTCAAAAATCCCATCAGTGGAGTGTCACTTTGATTGCTGTTATCTGAATTCTGCATTTCAGGGAGTCTCTGGTAGGTCATAGTTGAAGTTAGTTAATTTATGGCAGGGTTAGGATGAAGCATACAGAACTATTAGATGTGGTACATTTTAGCAAAACATTTTTGTTTAACTTGCACTCTCTTTCCAAGTGTTTTGTAGTATATTCTGCTAAAGAGGCCACCAGCTGCCTTGTCTCCTTCACCCTTGCCTCCAGGGGACCGGCAGGAATGACTATCCAAATGGTGGACCTTGCCTTCCAGGTGAGACTTGACCCCTCATATAGGAAGTGACCCGGTCGCACATAGACCTAGCAGAACAAAAAGAACTTATATATTATTGATTTTTGAAATAAGGATTACAAGCAATGGTGATAAGACAGCTGATTGTCTTATTTTCTTCTTCCATTTTTTTGGAAAATTGAGTTGGGACAGGTAGCAAACACCTGAACCAGAATTAAAAAAAAGTTTCTTATAAGAATAACAAAGGATTTATATTACTGAACCATTTCTTTTGTTTTTTTTATGCTTGAACTAAATGCAGCATGATTAAAATAAATCCTCCAGTTGTTCTAGAAATAGATGTGCTTCACAAAAACCCTACCTTAAATCCTCTGCTAAGTGCATTCAAATATTCCTCATTGTGGTGCTTCTTTGGCAGATGATTTTCCTTAGGTAGCATGTATTTATTTTATTCTTCAGTGATAGGCAAAGAGCCATATTAGTGATGGGGGCCTGGACCCTGTGACTGAGCAGTGCTGTATGTGATTCCCACAACGTGCTACGGAGTATCCGAGCCCGGCTCACTGAGCGTGGCTCAATTCCTGAAGAGTGAAGAGGTCTGATTTGTTTATGAGAAATCTGCTACATGAAAAAACATTTTTTGAACATAAATTGAATCTATTTTACCCCATTAAAAACCCAGAGTTATCTGTGTACTCATGTTCAGTACAGCGTTAGTCACCATAGTCAAAAGGTGGAAGCACTGTAAGTGTCCATCAACAGATAAATGGATAAACAAATGTGGTATATCTATACAATAATTTATACAGTCTGTACAATTCAGCCTTAAGGAGGAAGGAGTTCCTGTTACATGCTACAGTGATGAACTTTGAGGACATTATGTTACATGAAATAAGAACAAAAAGACAAATACTGTATGATCCCATTTATATGAGGTACCTGGAGTAGTCAAATTCATTGAGATAGAAAGTAGAGTGGTGGGTGCAAGGGCCTGGGGGAGGGGGAGGAGGAGTCAGTGTTAATGGGGATGGAGCTTCAGCTGGGGAAGATGAAAAGCGTTCTGGAGAGGGATGGTGGTGACAACTGTGCTATGGTGTGAACATGCTTGATGCCCCTGAACTGTGCACTTAAAAATGGTTAGTGTGGTAAATTTTATGTTATACATACTTTATCACAACTAAAAAACATCACTTTGATTTTTTTATTTTCGAAATTCTGGCCATGATGGGGGCATGGCTCCTGTGTTCCTATGATTGGTGCTGGGGATGGTACATGAGCAAAACTGGTTGGAAGGGACTAAGACATCATCTGCTCCACCACTGTCAGTTTACAGGTAAGAAAATTGAGTCTCAGGTGACGTGATATATCCACTTCACTGGTGGGTATAGTCCTCCAAACGTGTGGCTCCCCAATTTCTGCAGAGGCAGTGCAGAGATCATTGACAGATGGCTGTGGAATCATAGTGCCTGGGCTTCACTCTGGCTCCGCTACCTACCCAAATTCACAGATGGTTAAATTCTCTGTTTGCAGATCTATAAAATGGGAATCATATCAGTATCCCATCAGGTTGTTATGAGCATTAACTGAGCCAATCCATATTAGGCACTTAGTCTAGTATTTTTGCATGCAATGAACAAATGCTACTGTTTCTATCATTATTGTTTTGTTATTGTTGCTGTTACTAGGTTCTGCTGCTGGAAGGATTTGGAGACAGGTCTTGAGTTTGAAGCAGTCTGTCCCCGTTAATCAGTGTGTGCATTAGGGTGGATGAAATGCTTGTCTCGCTGTGATGGTTGTGAAGGAAGCAGGTGGCGCCCCCAGTAGAGCACTTGGTTAGTGGTAATCTCAGTCTGTTTTAGTGGTTACAGGGAGGGCACTGTGGCAGGAGGTCTTGCATCTTTGAAGTCATGCTCTTCAAGAGCAGAGATGAGAGCAGATTTACTGAATTCAGGATGAGGGTGGAGTTGTGTTCTCTTGGGCCCACTTTCCAGGTCCCCCTGAGGAAGGAGCCACCTGACTTCTCTGGGTTGCTTGTCCCCGGACGTTGATCGGCCTGCAGGTATAGCTTGGCTTAGCTCAAGGTAGGGACAGAGTTGTTAGTATTATTTCAAGGTATTTTTGATTCTAGCCCCAGATTATGAACACCCTCTTGCTACTGATTCATTAGCTCTTTTTAACATGCTCACTCAGCCTTATCAGTTTCTGGTGGAAGACTTCATCCAAAATTGATTACTAGGGAGGTCGTTTGTACTCAAGGGACATTCATGAAACAAACAAGTATTGAGCCCCTGCATGCCTATCAGGGGCGTATAAAAGGGAACTAGACGTTCTTGCCCTGGAGGGGCTCAGCACTCTATCGTCAGTGTACAGTCCCAGCTCCTAAGAACCAGATAGAGATATTCTTCTCAGCCCAGGCAGCTCCTCTGTGACGAAGACTGGGGCCAACATTGCAATTATACCATGTATTATTTAAATGTGTGTGTGTTTGTCTTCAGTGTATCTCTCTCTCTATGTATACAGATATATAAATGTGTGCATGTAAATGATATGATAAACTGAATATCAAAAATTCATGGTCTGAGATTTGTCATAGTGTATAACATCCCTAGTTGAGGAACCTTTCAATATTGTGGACATCCAAACTGAGTGAATCAGCATGACTTAAAACTGGTGCCAGAATGGGCAGAGAACATGCTTTCTGTCAGGGTGTGTGCACGCGCACCCCTGTCAGGTCCAGGCAGTAAGTGGACTTAGATTTTTATCAAAATCAACAAATTATGTTATCTGCTCTAAAATTTTCACACTTGACCATGTGACCACTGTCACCAGTGGCTTGTTCTTTTTTCAAGTAATCTAGTCCGGTGGTTTTCAACCCTCACTGCTGGGTTAGCATCACTTGGATGAGCTTTAGAAAAATGCTCAGACCCCACCCTGTCCCAGACCAGGTAAACCAGAAGCTTCCCAAGTGATACCAACATGCAGCCTGAATTGAGAGCCATTAGCCTGTCCTCCACTGGTGTAGCATCTATTTTCCCTTTTGATTGATGTGGACTGTGCTCGTCTTCTTGCTCGAATGGCTCATGGACGTGCCAGTTGGGTTTCTTCTTAGCCATCCTGAAAGGTTTGAGCTGGGAAACAAAAAGCTAAAATGAGTTTAAAAAGTTTATATTAGATGTAATTGATGTGGTTTGTTGAATGAAAGCTTGATTGTTATCCCAGAGTCCAAGCTGACTAGCATTTTCTGTTTGATGTTTTCCTTTCTCTACATTGGGTGAATGAAGTAGGTATTTAGTGGTAGGTGTGCCCTGTCTCACAGTGCTGAAAACTACCCCCAACAGATAAATAAAATGATGAAATTCAAGATGTATCTTGAACAGCTTCTCTTCTCAGCTAGGCAGCTCTTTTTTTTAGCAACAAAATGGCAAGTTAGCAATGGAGCATTGCAGTTGAGAACAAGGCCTCACTGTGGTTTCTCACAGATCCATGTGCAAGACGGAAGCACCACCTCCGAACCATGCTTTGGAGGGTCATGGTCACCACTGACACACTTTCTCAGCTTCTAGGGGCTGGGAGAGAGGGAGAGAGTTTGTATGGCCTGGGAAGGGATTTCTTTACTGTAGTTCTTTAAAACAATGACACATTTAGCTGAGTGATTTTGTTAAATACATCATATTAAGGCCTTTTCCAAAGCATTTTTTATCAGGCTCACTATTCATAGTCTGCATATGCTTACATCATATATTAGGATGTGCAGTTGTATTTTTGACTTGTTTCTTCAAAATTTGAATGGCTTAAACTTCCTGTGGTCTCCAAGAGCCAGTGTGTTGTGATTGTGTTTATTTCAGACCATAACAGAATTGCCTTTGTTGAAATTACACAAAAATAATTGTGTGAAATTTGATACCACCGTGAACTGATCATTCAAACTCATAGATTAAATATAGTTCATTTCCTGATTTAGTGAATCCTTTTCTTTCCCAAGTAATCATGCTTAGTGCTGAGCATATGATGATATGGAATGTTTTATACCCTGAGAAAATTCAAGATTTTTCTTTCCTTTCAGCTCATCTATTGCAATTAGAATGGAATTCTTGTGCTTGTGGGACTAACTTGCACTTGTATATAAACAACTGAGGTGTTATATATTTAGAAAAAAAATATTTTTTGCATTTGGAATTTGTAAGCAGCCGTCTTTATAGTCAAACCTTATTGTAGAAACCTGCTAAAGGAAACGTTGAAAAACAGTTTTGCTTCTCTATCAAGCATATATGTTGGAAGCAACAAGTATTTCCATTTTGACTCATTCTCTTTCAAGTAAAGTGACAGTTTGTTGAGGGATGAAGCACAGTGGTATTTTGAGCTGCTTTGACGTTCCCTAGGCAAACTATTGTCAGGAGCAAAGCCTTGAAGTTTGAGAGTTGCACATGCTTTCATAATTTTTTACTGCCTCCCCTTACATTGACATTCCAAGAAAGCAAATAAAATTATTCAAGGCTCAAAGCAAAGGAGTTCTCAGCTGGACCTGAGGTTGATGTTATGTTGGGAAAAGCATGAATTATTTTCAATAACATACAAGTGGAAATATTTAACAAAATTTTTTAGTTCTAAAGTTAGAGGTAAGACACTTAAAATTCCCTGGAGTGGCTGCATTGCTCTTAATTCATAATAATTTAAAAAACTTGAATTATTAGTAAAGTAGCTCTATTTGGTGGGTGGAAATCCAAGAGAGCCATTGACACATAAAGGTGATCTGTTCTTTCACTAACCTTATTCATAGCGGTAACCTGATCCAGGGTCTGCTACTTGTGCACCACGTCGTTGGGGCTCAGGAGGTTTCAGAGCGGATGATAGCTTGGTCCTTGCCCTCCATGGGCTTCAGTCCAGCCGGTGACAATGTTAATTACCAACATTTACTGAGTACTTAATGAACAGTAATTCTCATTGCCTGGTGAAGTAGTAACTAATGGCATCCCTATTTACAGATGTGGCAGTGGAAATGCAGTGATGTAATAGGTTGCTCA